AATGATATTGAAGACATGTGAAATATGCCAAAACGCACTGCGAGAAGCGCGATGAAGTAATTGATCTATGTGATATAAAATACACATTGACTTTTTACTAAATTTATATTATTATAGTGGTGATGCAGCCTAAGATGGTGAAACGCACCGATTTAACAAAAGCCTATTCACTCTTGCCTTGAAGGCAAACACACTATAATGGGAAGGAAAGACAAATGCTGGCAACTTATTCCACTCCTTTGCTGTACGCGCGACGAACGACGTAGCAAACCAACAGACAATAAGTCAATAACGAAATGGAGACTGGCCGAACGTCTGATTATCCGATGCAAACTCTCCGAAAAGCATTCTGTAGAAAACGAGAAAGGCTACTTTGCGCCTGTGGTCGAAACTGGTAAGATTGGTTTTAAAAAGTTTTAAAAATTCTCAAAAGCCTCTACCCCTTTCTATTAGTCCAGGATGCTAGACATTTTGTAGCACCAGCTCATTTAAGGCACATACTCCTACACCGGACTTTCACTTTATATAAATAAGCATCTTTGCGTAAGTATCCCACACCTTTCAGGACTCCTTTGCAGCTACTTTCTTGGACTCAATGAACCGCCTGAAGCTCAGATTTGAGGATATCAACAACTGGAGGCAGTCGGTGTATTCCAGTGATACATTTCGGAAAGAAGAAGCCAAGGTGGGCTGACTTCTTTTTGCAGTGAAGAGACATGCTTGTGTTTTGGAGGCGTTGTATTTCACATTGCATCGCCCCATTCGGAGACTGCCAGTAGTGTGAGACTCACACGCTCTACCATAGCTTCTCTTTAATTTGACTGCCTCTTTGGTGTAATGGTAACTGATGATGTTGAGGTCCCGGGATTGAATCCCGGGTCGGGTCAAAATTAGTTATTGGGTTTTTCTGACAAATAATTCTCAGTAGCATCCCGGAGTCCGGAATCCTCGGAGAGCACGTAAAGTCGTTGGTCGCGCCGCAAGCACAGAAGCACTCTGGCTTCTGTGTCAAGTGTAAAGACAAATATCTTTTTTTATTTTACTTGATAGTATTTCGTAAATTTTTATAAGATGAAAAATGATTACGCACCTGTGACTACCTTAATGATTATAAGATAAAGACATTATAAAATTTATCAATATTTTCGTTTCACCAATTATCTGACTACAACAAAACACCTTACTTAATATTTGGTATTCGGTGTATAAAAATTTGATATACAACCGAATAGAATAAAATTACCGAGATCCAATACCGATCAAAAGCCGAATATTCGTTGCAGTACCACTGCAGCTAAGCTTAAAATGCTTGTGTTAGGACTGATTTACGACAACAGTCGAATTCCTGATTCAAACCCACAACCTTTGAGTTCGCAGTCCGCATCCTGCCATTAGAGCATTAGACTACTGTCGTTACGATCTAGTTCAAGTTTGCCCATGACAGTAATCCTCCTACTATAGAATATTTTCTTGTAGATCAGTAGACCGTTTGATGGGTAAAACCCCCCCAAAAGAGTTATTATTTTATATTTCTTCCTTTCCCCCCACCCCCCCCCCCCCTCTTTTTTTTTATTTTTTCCTTTTCCCCCCCAAAAAATAAAAAAAAAAAAAAAAAATTTGGATTTCTAATTAATACAAACACCTTAAGAAGAACTACCTAATCATAACCGTGTAGTTTAGGAGCATAAAGCATATTGCAGGAGTGTATTGAAAGGTTCACATCACTTACCGGTAAGCGAAATGTAGGCACTCCATTAGATGGGGTGTCGACTTGGTATAAAGTACAGGAATTCGAATGAAGACCCTGCTTTGTGGAATATTTAGGGAGAGGCCTCGTAATTCGTAGTGATTTTATTAGTTATGAAGTATGCGGCTGAGACGAGACACGTTGAATAAAACTATTATTTACGGATTTTATCGCGTTTAATTACTTTAATTTATTTTTATTATTATCCCGACGTTTCGGATGCTTTACAGCACCCATGGTCACGGGGGGGGGGACTGAGATGTTTGACGTCCCAATGTCATAGTTAGTCCGGCTACCTTCAGTTTTTTTTTAATATTAATTTTTGGTCCAATTTACGCAAAACGAGCTTATAGTATCGTGAAGTCTTGCAGTGGTATGCTTGGGTTTGGGTTTAATTTTGTTAATTATAGGATCCCAAGCAGATGGTAGCACACAGTCACACAGTCACAGTGAACGAGTGAAGCCGGCCACAGTCGAGCGCGCGCCTGCTCTACTACCATATGTCAGAGGAGTCACGGACAAGATTGGCTACATCTTGAAGCGAGCGTCCATTAAGACATACTACAAGCCGCTGAAGAAGATTAGTCAATTTTTACCATCCATCAAATGTAATATTCCTCTACAAGATGCAGGTGTGTACAAGCTAGATTGTGAATGTGGTCTCTCTTACATAAGTGAAACAAAGAGATCTATAAAAACCCGCGTGAAGGAACATATAGCTGATGTGAAGCACCGACGCTCCGGGAAGTCTGCATTATGCGAACATGTTCAAGATCGTCCCCACCATTACATTAGATTTGATAAACCACAAATTCTCGCAAAAGAACGCCGATTCCTACCAAGGATGATACGCGAGGCTATTGAAATTAAAAAACATCCAAATTTCAATAGAGAAGATGGTTGGGTGCAACCATCTGCTTGGGATCCTATAATTGACAAAATTAAACCCAAACCCAAGCATACCACTGCAAGACTTCATGATACTATAAGCTCGTTTTGCGTAAATTGGACCAAAAATTAATATAAAAAAAAACTGAAGGTAGCCGGACTAACTATGACATTGGGACGTCAAACATCTCAGTCCCCCCCGTGACCATGGGTGCTGTAAAGCACCCGAAACGTCGGGATAATAATAAAAATAAAAAATAAAAAGCGAAAAAAAAAAAATAAATTAAAGTAATTAAACGCGATAAAATCCGTAATTAATAGTTTTATTCAATGTGTAGTGTTCGCGTAAATTTAAGAAATCATTACGAGACACGTTTATAGTGAATACTTGTAATAAAATTACAATTTATTCGATACCTATACCTATGTAATCTTTATCTATGCATTTACAGCTCATCTTGTCACAGCTAATTCATTGTATAACACTCTTGTAATCATATTTTACTATTAAGGCTACTAAGGCTAGGTGTACATATTAAGGCCTATGTTCAGCCGTGGACTTGTAAAGTAACGTAATGATGAGGGGTATTTTGCCGTAGTCAGCAGTGATTTTCATTACCGCTGATACTCTTTGAAAGGGTTCTAGGAATGAAGTTCGACGTGAAGAATTCTGTGTATTAAAGACATAAAAACATTTTATGATGTGATATATACCTTACCTAAATATAATATGTACCTTTTTATAAAGGTGACAAACGAGCACACAGTAAACCTGAGTATAGTGGATGGTGTGGCTCATAAAGGCGTACATCTATACTCGATTAAGATCACAGTGCTTTATATATGTATAGATATCTAAGTCAAGTTATGACTTAGGTATACATTTTTCGTGCCAGTAAATGCTTATAATATTTTTAATATATCATCTACTACCACTAAAAATGATAGCTGCTGTTAATATTAACGTAATATTATGTTCAGACCAAATTTAATGTAATATTATGTTCAGACCAAATTTAATGTAACATTATGTTCAGACCAAATTTAATGTAACATTATGTTCAGACCAAATTTCGGTCTAGGACTAGCCATCTGAGCAGGACAGGATTATAGTGCACGAGTGAGTGATCAAGCCCAGGTGCACTCTCTGTTCCCTCACTCACAGTTCGATGGGACGGTAATCCGAGACAACCGTTGAAGTAAATAAAGACACTATTTACTTCTGCCCTGCTGCATCACCTGGGACTGTTCTGATAATAATATATTTGCACAGAACATTTTAATGCCGGAAAATGCAAAAATAGATGTATCAAGTTTACCGCCGATGATGTAGCTTATCTTTACTGTTTTAATTAATGGTATGAGAAAAAAGCTAGCGGCTTATTTTCAAAGTCAAGCTCCTTTGCCATTTAGTCTAGACTGATAAGACAGTCTATGCATAATATCTAAATGGCACACATTGAGGTCAAAGCAGTTACAAATGTAACGTGCATTTACAATACTAAAAAGAACCCACTAAGGTCAAAGCTGTTACAAATTAGAGATAGATAGAAAGTTAACAGTTTACTGTATGCCAAAAAATATATAATTAAGAACAAAAAAGATTAGCAATTAAAAAAATCGTTACCAGACAGAAAGAAATTAAATATATTGAATATGATAATTATATAAGTATGTATGTACATTTTATTCTCGTATACAGAATAATATGCTGGAAGTCTATAGATGGAGGTAACTCGGGGTCATGCTTTGTGACATTACAAGGGAGGGGGGCTATGTTCAGTAGTGAACTTGTGAAGGGCTGTAATGATGATGACGATGACGATCTCTTATTATGAGTAAAAACGTCTAGCTATCAGTAGAACTATGCTTGAAATTGTTTAGGCTAATTTCATTGTTACAGAACTTTTTCTTTTTCTTCACCAGCCCGTTAAATTCTACTGAGGAATATAATCCCCTCCCTCCGTTGTAGAGAAGATTCTCTATAATCATCAAGCTCGGTATGGGGATTGGTAATCACAGTATACCACGTCTTGCATCTTTGACGTTGTTACCTAATGCCGGTATTATTTTATATCTAGTAAAAACGAAATAGTTCAAAATATTACAGGAATTGCGATGAGTTTTTTTAATTAAAAATAACTATAAATTTATTTCAATCAAAATAACAACTTAATGCTGCTGTGTTTCGTAAAGTGAGTGTAGAGAACCGGACACCCTTTTTACTGGAAACGAGGAATTTCATCTTAGTCCATAGGGGTGACAACACATCTATATATTTATATGTATTTTGATTCTTCATCGAGGAAATATGTAGATGTCTATGGACCACAGTATCCGCTTTTTATCAGGAGCATTTCCGTCCTTAATTAAAAAAAATCGTACCTCTATCAAATCCGTACGTTTGTCGGATGTAGGGATGCGACGGGAATCTGCTAACAGCCAGTTGACTTCGTAGAATTTGTTCCGAATTCATAACTGGGTCACTGTAGTAACTGAATGGATGCCTGGACTCTAATGGATAATTTGCTTTAACTCTGTACGGTGTCCAAGGAATCCCCGCTTTAATTGGCGTTGGATATAAAGGATACGTATTCCTTCTTTGTTCCAGATTTACGTTGGCATTTGATAGTTCTAACTCTCTATCTACTTCTGCTGTGTTAAACCTTGCTTCTTTTTCCTTCTCTATTCGACCAACAATTTTAGTTTTATATGATTCTGTAGAATCGTTGGTTAGGTTTCTATAGGATTTCTTTGGGTTATCAAGTATATCATCGATGAAGAAAGACTTTTTGTGTTTGCACGCGCACATGTCGACGGTTTGTAAAGTACTGCCGAATTTATTATCACAGTTATCAATACAAGCTCAGTAATTGATATGAGTACAAGGGACACGCCTAATCGTTTACCGCGATATTAAACCACTTTACTGCTTTTTAAGGGCATATTGACAGGAACGGGATAAGCACTGGTTAGATAATGTTTCCGATAGTGCAGTTAATCTCTTCGGACAGGTTGGATAATGTGATTAAATTATATATACTGATCAATGGTCAACGCGTAATACATAACAGAGATTTTTATTAACCTAAATGTATAAAAAGGTTTAAAACGTAAACTCCCAAACTAGCATTCTTTCCTGTATTGTGGACGAAGCTTATATACATAAATTGCACAAAGATAAGCGTCTAGAACTGGAACAAATACATGGAGGCCATACAAATACTGGTTCTGTGCGAGATTCGAACTCGCGGTCTTCAGCGCCGTAAGTTATTGCTGACTGACTAATTGTTAACGGCCACGGAGCTGTCAAAAATTCTGGTTTCTGATGACAATGATGTTAATGCTTTTAGTCTTTTGGCTTTTACACCCATAGAATACTATAATACACAATAGAATGGCTGTCAACCTTATTTTGTAGGAGGGTTGGCGTCGCCGGGAGCACACATACAAGCAATTACGTCGTATTATCAGTTAATCACTACAACAAACCCGATTCGCTTTGTTGACAGACGGATTTTAAAACATATTCATTTGTAAATAGTAAAAGGGATCTCCGGTTCTTGCACTACATCACCAGAACACAACAGCTATTTTACGCTGGTATTCTGTGAGAGATGGTTTCTTTCGCGGGAAGACGACCTTTTCGTGCTACAATCATAAAATTTCAATTTCACCTAATGGTGACTAACGCAGTCCAAGTACCTACTCAGAGAACTACCTACTCAAATGAACTCCTAGTCTGAAGAGGAGTCTTACCACTCCTTGATTCGATCGGTTAAAAGTGCTTATAGTAGAAGTACTTAAGCTGTTACTCAGTCTCTTATTTTTATTTAATTTCGTTTTTTGTGTCGTCTGGAAGAGATTGATATTATGCAGAAATAAGACCCGGCTTTTGTCTTTTCCTCAATATTTGTTTATTTTTGTTATATTAATCTTTACTTGGTGTACAATAAAGGGTATTGTATTCATCATCATTCATCATTACAGCCCTTCACAAGTCCACTGTTGAATATAGGCCTCCCCCAAGGAATGCCACAAAGCACGGTCCTGAACCACCTGCATCCATCGGCTTCCTGCATGTCTTACCAGGTCGTCACTCCATCTAGTGGGGGTCACCCTATACTACGCCTACCGGTACGAGGCTGCCACTCGAGAACCGTGTTTACCATCGGTTGTGGGTTCTTCGAGCTATATGTCCGGCCCATTGTCACTTCAGCTTACTATTCCGTTGGGCTATGTCGGTCACTCTGGTTATACTGTGGATATCCTTATTTCTACGTTTATTACTCAGAGTAATCCCGAGCATAGCCCTCTCCATAGCTCGCTGAGCGACCTTGAACGTCCTCATACGGCCAGCAATTAAGGACCACGACTTAGATCCATAAGTCATCACTGGCAACACGCACTGGTTGTACAAAGTTTTCATTTTAGAACGACGAGAAATATGTGTAACACCGCTGACTTACCTAGTCGGACTATTTATCCCAGGTAAATGTAAATGTACTCGTCAAGAACTTCGAGCTTAGTAGTCCCAACAACTACCGGCATAGGTGTGACATGGACATTAAACATGATCTTTATTTTGTCCACGTTCATCTTAAGACGTATCCGTTGGGAGACACTATTGAGGTCATTGAGTATAGTGCCTAGGTCCTCCAGTGATTCTGCCATAAGGACTATACCGTTGGCAAATCGAAGGTTAGTGATGCACTCGCCGTTGATGTTAATACCGTATCCTTTCCAGTCCAGTAGCTCGAAAACGACTTCCAATACAACGGTGAAGATTTTCAGGGATATAACGTCACCCTCTTACACGTTTCTGTAGATGGATAGGTTTCGTTCTCTGATTCTGTACTCGGGAAGCCATCGTAGCCCTAATGTACAAACACTTCAGCACTTCGATATACCGCTAGTCAACTTGGCACCGCTGAAGGGCCTGTAGCACCGCCCAAATTTCGACGGATTAAAAGGCCTTTTCATAGTCCACATACGCAAGGCACATTGGCAGATTGTACTCTTCGGTTTTCTGTACAATCTGTCGCAGGGTATGTATGTGGTCTATGGTACTGAAGCCTTTTCGAAAACCGGCTTGTTCGGGAGGCTGGAAGTCGTCGAATCTGCGTGCGGGACGATTTATAATGACTCTCGAAAACAACACGTAGACGCGGCTCAGAAGTGAAATTGGCCTATAGTTCTTGAAGAGAGCGTTGTCGCCTTTCTTGAAGAACAAAATCACCGCACTTCTGTATTTTATTGTATTGGTATTATTATAACAAAACATAACAAAATCTTAGAATAAAATGTTAAGACAAATTTGCACAAGACCTCTTTTACCTTTGTAAAAATAAATTAATAGAATATAATAGAGTATTTATTTAATAAAGATATTTGAGCAACAGCAATACTTATTTAATATTTAAATAGCTCACGAAAGTGAAAAACTAATCGATACCGTTACATACTATCAGAAGTCCACTGCTGAATATAAGCCTCCTCCATAGAGGGGATATTTGCCATCATTGCCACGTTTGGCGGGTGGGTTGACAACCACGGTTTTCTTTGTCATTAGGAAAACGATTGAGGATTAGATGCTGTCCATCTCCTAGGTTGCTTCCATCTGCCGCCTCTTACAATACCCACTCTTACATATAGCCCATATGTGACAGTGGATGTTCTTACACCGTCACTGCAAAGTCAAGAAATTCCCAATACTTTTTTTTTATAGAATAAGGGTGACAAACGAGCACACAGTCCACCTGATTGTAAGTGGAAGCAGTGGCCGATAAACGTCTATCCTCGATTAAGAATCAAAATGCAGATGTGTTGTCACCAACGAGAGACTAAAATGGAACGCATCGTATCCAGTGAAAGGTGTCTCCGGTACCCTACACTCACTATACAAAAGCAGCATTAAGTTGCTATTTGACGCTGGTATACTACGAGTGCGTTATTCTTCCCCGGCCGACCAATTCGTGCTACAACTATAATATAGCTAAAACGTGGCTCTACCCCTACATATCACCTTTGGTTTTACCAAAATAAACTCAGTTAATTATCGCTATATCCATAAAACAATAAAATTTTATAATTATTTAAGCAAAAAGTAGTCCAGCATATTGCTCACTAGCGTAATAACATCATCATCAAAGCGAGATCTCTTCTTCGTAGACCCGTAAAACGTTGCCACAGATTAATTAAATAACAGAAACTTCCCTTCTATTATAGTAATTGAAAATAGAAAGTAGTTTTTTAACACGGAGACTTCATGATCAGCATCTGCATGAGAAACCGTGTTTACGACCACGAGACCATTCAGGCGGTGGTTGTTGTGAGCAATCTTAAAGTTTTTTGTACAAAACCAACATAAACATTCACACCTGTCACCCACAGGAGTAGGCAGAGACTACGGACTTTCGTTTAGCACGATCTTGACTCACCTCTCTCGCCTCCTTTACATCCATATATCTACACATACACGCTCGTCGGTTAAGGGCACTCCTATTGTAGCCCATTTTCAAAATATCGCCAATTTGGTCGATAAACCTTTGTCTAGGGAGTCCCTTCCCGTCTCTACCGTTCACATCTGCAATATAAATTTCCTTTGTTACTCTTTCTTCGTTTATTCTTTCTACATGACCAAACAACCCAAGCATTCGTTTCTTAATCATGATCACAACATCATCTTGCACACCACATTTTTCTCTTATCACAATATCACCCTGTCATTCAGATTCAGTCCTTCCAACTGTGAATCATTACAATAATTTTTCATTATAGTTTTCTGTTAGTGCTACTTGGCCAACCTAAATGCAGTGCATTTGAAGGAAAAAAGAAGAATTATTCAAGAAATACATCAAACCAAAAGATCCATTCAACATACAATATCGTAGACAACTTGTTTATTTTGTACTCTGTGGGCTGCCTAGACTTGTGTCTACTCAAATGGATTCCTCTTGAAAAACAAAGGGGTGAATTCGCGGGCGCACCTTCTCTCTCGATAAAGATGTCCACATTTTACTAAATATTTCCAAGAATTAAATATTATATAGTATGTTATGTTATGCATTTCTTTAATTTATGAGAGTTAGTGAGCAACGTACACAGTTTGTGAACAAACCTCTATTCACTATTGCCTCGAAGAAGTCCGAATTTTATTTGTATGGAAAGATGCTGCCAAATTATTCCACTCCTTTGCTGTACGCATTTCGAAAGACGAAGCAAACCGTTTGGTGGATTATCGATTATGCGTGGAATATCGACAGTAAAGGGGTGAAGACCTGCCGACTGCTTGGTTGTCCAATGGTGGAAAGGAGAGTGAGGAATTAAAGCGTGCAATTCCTGCATATACATATGTGTAGGTTTTTTTCAATGTCACTTTACAAATAGCATATATAATGCTATCGTGTATGTAAAATTTCATGTTAAAAGTTTTTCGCAAGTCTATATCTCCCCCATTTAAGTACAATTTAGTCTTCAATATTTATTTAAAAAACTAAAAGTGTTAACCTTTGGGCACTCAATCAGAGATCACCTTTCATATTCGGGTTCTTGTCATATATTCTGGGCTAGAAATGGCGATTTATGGTTTCATGGGAAGCAAAAGGTTTGAAAACATAATTTCCGAAGCGGTTTTCGTTAACTACGTAGGCAATAGCCGAAGTCCCTTACGAATGAGGCTCTAGCGACTGTCATCGGGTTGAAAATTTATCACGAAAAAAATCTAAATTCCACAGACAAGAAATGGCAACATTTGGTTGGTATTTCAGCAGCGTAACCCCTTACGATTTTGAGAAAGCCTCGTTAATCACT